CCTCTTTTTTAACATTGCACTTTTGTGGGAAATTCACCGAGATTGGGAGTTTAAACCCCCCGGAAGAGTAGTTATTGTGAGCTTATTTTGAGACTATCTGTAATAAACGGAAATTAGAAAGTAAAATCTCATTTATCCATCGTCGATTAATGCCAATTAAGGGCTGATAGTTGAGTTTTTTCCGCAATTCCATAAGTAAGCTTCTTTATAAAGCTTTGAATTTGACTTGGTTTCTCATTTGTTCGGCATCGTTGTTCGACGTCGCCAGGGGCGCATTAGCAACCGCGAAGTGATTCAAGATCGGTTGATTCGGCAAGCATGTATTCGCCAATAAAATCGTCATGTCTACTCATGACCTCGTGGGAAAAGTTCCAATATCATTTCTTAAATCCCTTTTTGTGTGGTCATCGAACTTGGTAAGATTAGGTCGCTTAAGATGACTAAATGATTAATTTTATACGAAATGTCTTCAACTTATTTCGTTTTAGATAGTTGAGATTTCTCACAAAGCTGTGATTAGACCTCACGCTTTCCAAAAAGATATTCTTATTCCAGACAGAAGGGGACTGCAGTTTCGAATATCCTGACGACTTTACCGTTCCAATTTACTCGACAGCATTACTTATTTTCAATATTAGCAGGATCACGACCATTATAATTATTGAATAGGAACTTTTTTGTCCCAGGCGATGGTAGACATATGCTAACTTATTCAGGGGAATCAGCCGTCGTTTCATCGTGAGATGGACCTTTACATCTCTTTTTATGCATCTTGATAGGAAATGAAATTCTCCCCAACAATACTATCTCTGCATATTTATGTAAAGCCAGCTACTCATCGTATCTACTTATTATTCGTTTTTAAGTAGGCTTTCGAGACTGCCAGTAAGTCATATATATGATATGTGTCTCGAAAGCCTACTTATAAACACAAAATAAGTAACGTAGTCTTTTGCTTCATCGATAATCCCACCACGGAATAGGATATGGGAAAATGTCTGGCCTTCCTTGAAATTCACATCTGCCCTGTGACTCAGCAGCACTCGTGACAACGTGGCGCAATGGTCAACATCACAATATTATACGCTGTACTGACATGTTTGTGTGATCGAAACTACATTCCACTCCAATCAGAATGAGAATACCTTTTGGGAGGGCAGGGGTATGTGAAATGCATTGGAAAAGCATGCTATATTAATATAATTGCGGAATAATTCAACTATCAGTCCTTCATTTATTTAATAATTGACTATAATTGTGAGTTTATTGAGTAAAGGCTTGCCTATAATATCGCATCTATCTCATAAAACATTGGCTGTGGCGGTGAGTGATAAAGTCGCCATCCTACTTACGATCTGATCCCGAACCGCATTTGAGAATCCGATGAACCAATGAGAGGTCTAAACTGTTTTCCGGCCAAGAGGAAATATACTTTTTGAGACGATGACACCATTAAGCTTGGTCACTTTAATGTGGCTCAATTCATCTGTCAGCACTTTCCATGCCCAACAATTACTTGCATTGAATAAGTGAACTAATTGCTTATCAAAGAATTACTGAATGTAGTAAAGTTACTTTGTTGATAACAAATGATTGACAAAGTTTTTCATCAAGAAATGCTCATATTAAACCATGAGACGGGTGGATCACCTAAACACTGAATTTTCCAACAGCTCCGCCCCGAAATGACTCTCCCTCCATCCGCTTAGAGCGAGTCGTGCCCTTAGCAACACTCCTAGCTCGAGTCCGGTCTCCAGCGGGCTGGCCGGTTGGACGAATCCAGACTGTGGACTTCAGGCAAGCCGAAGGGATTAAGGGCTTTAGGGCCAGAGGATGGGAGGAATCGCTCTTTTCTGCTTCCCTCTTGGGCCTTGTGGCAGCACAACGAAAAATTGGTACCATTGCTGCTTCGACTGTCTATCAAAGATGTGTGACACGATGCGTCCGGAGGGCTCGTGTGGACGGAAACGGCTGTCCCGTCCTGCATGTACCGGCAGCACATGAGCTCGCGTAGTGTGCCCTCGATGGGGAGAACATTCTTCGCGCAATTACGAGGATACCGACTGAGCAAATCATTCACAGGCCCCAAGTGTCCGGTCTCTCGACGCGAATCCCTCTTCATCGTTCCGTCAGCACGTATAAACAACTGCATGTAAACACACTTTTATTTATCCAATTATTTCACCTTTTTGTGTATGTGCACACCAAATGGTGGTGAATTAGAGGCACTGTTTTTGCATAGTGTGACTTCTCCACTCATTCCCCGTCTGCCCACCAAAGTGATACAGAAACTGGCCATAATTGACATCTACCCGACACTAGGTCTGTGTGTGCTGGGCGGAAGGAGATCGGGAGTGTGAAAGTCGAGGAGACCTAAACTGGACACACCAGGGCATGTTCTGCATTTGTACGACGCTCCGCTTGCGAATGACCCGAGTAGAGGCGAATAGGGATCGTCGGGAGGCGTGGATTAAGGCAGTACAGTAATCAGCCGAATTGATACGAAGTATTCTGGTTTAAAGGAAAAGTTGATTGAAATAAATTTACGCATACTACTTACTTGTACTACTAACAGCCGATGATTTGGTTGCAAACCTGATGCATAAATAAGTTTTACTGACTTCCCAGGTGGTATAAGGAGAGTAAAGAAGAAGTGATGGTTAAAGTTTCCTATAATGATTCCATTGAATTTCACACAATAGTGCTTCTCAAAAGGTAGTCTGTATCTGGTCTGGAACGAATTGCTGTGTCTACCCTTCCCCCCAACTGGTCTTAATGGAACACCCAAAGGGACTCCAACCCAAGTTGTGGGAATGCAGCGTATATTCCCGACATGATCACAGATATCCACCGATCATAGGGCAGAAATTACTTGCACGGAGGGCCAGACCTCTCCCACATAACATTTTATATTGGGATGTTTAATGAGGCAAACTTGTGTTTAGCACTTACAACCAATCATGTTACTTATATTTGTGTAGAGTAGTCTTCGAAAATGTCAGTAAATCTTGAATAATAGCATCATCTTATGCCCCCTGATAGTTTCAAAGCCCAGGTTTTACGAACTTTATGCAAACCAAATCATAGGGCGGCACAATAAAATCGCGAAATTTGCTATATAGTCTGTAATATAAGTAACTAAAGGAGAATATGAGTTTACCAAGATCAAAAGATTATGCACTGATGGACTTTTCGCAGAAATACGCAGTCGTAAATCTAAAGCAATCTTCTTTAAGGTGATAAGGGGACTGGTAGTTGAATTTTCCTACGATAAGTAGACATGATGTTTTCATTTCTTTTCACATTGCCTTGTTTTTCCCAAGGTTATTCTCATCCAGACTGGATTGGACTGCAGTTTCGACCTCAACTAGGCCTTAGCAGCATCCAGGCAGGACTCGAACCATGACACGGCAGCCTATGAT